TCCGGGAGCGACGTATAAATGCGTGCGCACTATCGGACTGCCTGCGCGTGACACATTATATTAGTATAAAATTATTTTATTTAAATTCAAATTAATAAGCATAGTGGTATATAATACAAAAGCTTATTATGAAAAATTAATAACATAATATAGTTATATCTCACGGCGTCATATGTAGTCAATTTAGCTACATTACTTCAGCCATCGTGTGTTTGGTTTTCGTACCTATCCAAGAATTAATCAAAACTTATTAAAGTAGGATGAAGGTACATACAAGTACGATAAGAGAGTAAATACCTATGAGTTAATTGAAATTAGCATGATTTATGCTATAAAAAAATCATAATACCGCGAACTGTTTGTGTTTTTTTTTCCTCCACCACTTCCTACACTAGTGACACCACTGACCCACGCAGTATCCGTCCAGGACCGCCACAAGTAAATACCTATGAGTTAATTGAAATTAGCATAAATCGTAGATGAATATTATACAGAATAATTAATTAATCATGCTACATCCCTTTTTCTTAGTAATTAAGTTATTCAAAATCTGATTTCAGAATTTTTAAATATACTTTAAGACCATATTTTCAAATACTTGAGATTTTTGTATCATTTAAGAGTGTTTTTTTTGTGACACAAACTTCGATTTTTCAAATAAGAACTTCCTTCTTTCTTTTAAATTATTCAGTAGATAATGTTTTGATAATGTTCATGTATCTAAATCAAAATTTGAAACGAGTGATTTCTGACTTATTAGACTATAATGTGTAGGTACTAAACTTTATGATCCGTGTTAAGCACGGACTATATCACAATCTAATCACAACGTATCTAATCGTGTTCTTATTAGTTATTATTCAGACGGTTGTAAACAATTATAAAAAAAAAAATAAAATGTTTATAGATTAATATAAACGTTAATTCGATTAAAAAATAAACAATACCTATCCTGTTTTAATGTATATCTAAGTAAACTGTTTTGTATATATATTTGATATAAAACGAATAAATGTTACGTAATATATTTTATGTTATTTGTATATTTTATAAGCATAATATTTATTATCATCTAAATTAAGAATATTTATTAATACGAAAATTAAATTTTA